CCCACAGACCCCTCCCTGACCCACACAGACCCCTCCCTGACCCACACAGACCCCTCCCTGACCCACAGACCCCTCCCCGACAAGAACAGCAGGACAGCAAAAGTCACGCTTTGGATACACGCGCAGGGCGCATCCACCTCACCAGTGTGGATGTTATAAAACTTCACGTTTAAAGTCCGTGTTTGTCACGCGTGCACGGGGGGGATGCGTGCGTGCGCGCGGGGCTGGGTGTCTGCCGCGGATAACAGWGCAGAGAAATTCAATTTCTATTTAGTGAAATTTATTTTAAAAACAATACTTTCATACATGTCAACTTCTTCGGATGTTTACCTGTATAAAAAGCCTCAAAAATCCGTAAATTTTGCTGCGCACATGACAGCACCCGCTGCAAAGCAGGAGGAGAGGAGAGCGGAAAAAGTTCAAAACTTATTTCTAGCTGCAGAACAGGTTGGAAGTTTTTTTTTTCTCCGCTCTCGGAGGAGTAAGACACTTCTTCCTTCTCTCCTGCCCTTCCTTATCTTTCCCTGCTTTGCTGCTCGGAGCCTTCTCTACATTTTTCATCCGAAACCAGAAATTATGGACATTTTTATTATTATTTTTATTGATTTTTTTAGCCGGTCTCTCAATAAAATTTTTGGAACAAAGTTTGTTGTTCTTCGATGGGAGGGTGGGACCTCTGTTCTTCTCTGTTCTGGATTTATGTCTGGACTCAGATCACTGGATTCTACAGATTGGCTCAGTGGTCTCCTGGTGTTTCTACAAAACGGTGTCGGTGGCTTTTCATCTCCTGGCTGCCTGACCAATTTGATGGGTGGCCGTATTCTATCAGCACTCGGACATTTGCCTTGAGCAAACTGGACTCGGTCTGCAAGTGGTTCTACTGAGGGTCGCGGGCCGGCTGTGGTCCCTGGACTTTGCTGGCCAGATAGAATTGATTTTGGAGAAGCTGATAGATTCAGGTTCGGTGGAATTTGTTCACACCATTTTGCCTGAATGGATTCACCACCTTGAGATGCACCAGCAGACATTAAAGGCAGATGGAAAATAGTTATCGTCTGCCTGACTCTTCTGTTCCCAAAACAACTGATTACAGAATCTGGATCTCCCCGACAACGGCCTTGGATCTGTTGACTTAATTCTTCCTGGCTGGATCTTGTCGACAAAGCTCTCCTCCCTCCCTCCTCCCTCACCCGGYTGATCTGATTTCCTGAGCAGGCTGTGGGCCCACAGAATGAACAGGACCATCAACATTCTGAACTTTGGCTGCGCCGGCTTGGGGGACTGGATTCTGCGGGCCCTCTCATCTCAGTTACTCCTCTGGCTAATAAATCTGCCCTATGCAGAGGTTTTTTTCTTCATAAACACCATAGTGTTTCACAGTGTTGATATAATATGATGTTTTTGTTTTTTCCCCTCATCTTCCCTTGTGTGGTTTTCTGTTTCCAAGAATGGCACCTCGACAGGCAGCCTGTTACTGCAGCTCCACTGTTTGAGCTGCTGTAATGTTCAAATTTCCCCACTGCGGGAGCAATAAAGTTTTATCTTATCTTATCTTATCTTATCTTATCTTATCTTATCTTATCTTATCTTATCTTATCTTATCTTATGATGTCTATTTGATGTTAGTTATTGTTTTTTAAATAATCTTACAGGCTCTGATGTTAGATAAATTTGAAAATGAGGTTTTGAAAAAAATCGTGAGATTGCCCTATACGTCCTTATACCTGCAAATTGACATAAAATCCTTATAACTTACGGACACTCCGTACAAGTTGACGTGTGTGCATTCAATTTAAAATTCTGCACATTCAGATTCAGTTCCTGTTGGCACAAGATTGATCCTGTAGTTTTCTGCTGTGCATGTTGGAGCTGCATAATGTTGTCTGTTGTTTACCCTCTGCTAGATCCCATGAATGCCCTGACTAACCTGACAGGGGTTGGAGGGGGCCCGAACACCATTGGCATGGGCCCTCGCCCTCCCGGGGCTCCGGTGGGTGGCATGGGGGCCATGGGGCCGATGCAGATAAGCCAGCATGCCATGGCAGGGGTGACTGGAAACCCACAAACCAGTGAGTGTTTCCTGAGTGTGGTGTGTTAGCTGCATTCTGTGGATGCAGGCTGCGTGTGAACGTCTCTGCTTCAGCTCGTCGTGTGTCTGAGCGTCTCGTCAGACAGCTGCCAGCCGGGTCGCCCCTTCATCTCCTTCTCCCTCACCCTGCAGTGGGAGGTCCGGGTCAGCTGTCCATACAGCAGATGGTCCAGCAGCAGCAGCAGCAGCAGCAGCAGCAGCAGCAGACCTTGCAGTTCCAGCAGTTCCAGCAGGCCCAGCAGGCCCAGCAGCAGCAGCAACAACAACAACAACAGCAACAACAACAACAACAACAACAACAGTTCCAGCAGCTCAGAGTTCAGCAGCTGCAGCAGCAGCAGCAACAGGCCCAGAACCAGCAGCTTCAGAACCAGGTACACTTCTCTCAGAGCCCTCTCTGTACTCATCAAAGTTATAATAGTTTTGGATTTTTCATTATAGTTAAGTTTTATTTCATTTTGACTTCTTTTCTTTTAATTCAGTTAGTTTCAATTAGTTTTATAGTGGATTTGATAGTTTTTATTTGTTATTGTCAGTGGTGGACACCAGTCCGCTAAAACGCAAATCCACTAATTGCGGACTTAAACATTTTGTTTGTGCTTTAGCGGTCTTACTAATTTTTATAATTCATAAGCAGATTTGCACTTTTTAAATTTATATTGCAGTTCCGCTAATAACTAATTATCTACCGATCATCATTATCTTGAACAGCAGAAGGCATGGCTGTCAGGACTCACAATGCATGTGATTCATCCAGCAGCTCCCCTTCCAGCTTAACACTGTTTTTGTGAAGGTAAACATCCTCCCTGACTGTAGCTTTGGGTCACGGTTCAGTCGGTTCTCATTTTACCAGGTCAGCTTTGCAAAGTATTTTTCTGACAGCAATCTAAATTACTCAAATGGCTTCTGTTAAATTATAATAAACACAGTGCAAAAGACGATATCCAGTAGTCAGCAGATCCACATTTTACAGACATTTCCCACAATGCTTTGTGTCTGTCTGCTTACGTAGCAGGAAGAAATGGTAACTATCATATGTGACCGGGCGACACTCGATGTCTCACGTACAACATGTAACACACACACAACACGTAACACACACAACACGTAACACACACACAACACGTAACACACACAACACGTAACACAACACGTAACACACACACAACACGTAACACACACAACATGTAACACAACACGTAACACACACAGAAGCGGGGCCCGCCCTATAAAGGAGCCCTATTGGCGGTTAGGGTCATGTGACAAGACATGATTGGTCGTTCGATTCATTGTTTTCAGAAACTCTCTGTATGTAGCAGTGTGTTACAGTCTGCAGCCTTTTTTTGCTTGTGTACGAAGAGTCAGACGAAGGTTTTTAACATGGAGGGTGAACTTATGGATGTTTCYCAGCGGCCTGTGGATGAACCACGTGTGGAAGAAGGAGCTTCATCATYGGCTGTGGCTGAGGAACTCGCCGTAGGAAGCCTAGAGTCTCACCCGTGGCCCCACCTGAAGGACTATTTAATTTTTGACTGGAAAGATAAGTCGAATGAAAATGCTATGGACTTTCAGTGTGCCCTGTGCCAACCAAACATAGTGATGATCAATGGAAAATTGAAGAGGGTTTTTGATTTGAAGTCGCACATCAGCCAAAAACATCCAACACATGATGCACAGTTCAACTCGGCAATCAAGTCCGGGTCCTTACATGGAAAACACAGACTCTCTGTGGAGAGCAGTGCCAGTGCAAGCAGCAGCAAGTCATCTCAACCGAAGAGAGCACGGCAGCCCAGCCTTGCTGAAACTTTCTTTAAATCGTCCTCCACTGATGTAAAGCAGTCAATGGTGGACAGACAGATTCTCGACATGTTTGTCCACAACATGCTACCACTGCATGTGGTGGAGTCCCCCACCTTTGTTGGCCTGATCAAGCTGTTAAACCCCACCAAGTCATCTATGTCTCRCCACACCCTAGGCAGGAGGATTTTGGCCCGCCATGGACAGCTGGAAGAGCATCTGAGGAGGTATATATAACATGTTTTTTTAGAATGGTGTTCTGTACTTCATATTTTACTGTAATACTGTAATAATTAATAATGAAATATTTTAAGTATTTTACTGTAATCTTGTATGTATCCACTCATGACACAGGCTTGTTAAGTGTGAACAACAAAATGGCAGGCAGAGAAATAATCCCTTAAACTCTCAAATGCCTCCTATTGTAGTCATTCAGACCATGTGCTGACACAATGAGTCTGCCATTTTTTACTCGGTCCCCAGTGTTTTGACAGAAGACATCTGCAATAATAGCATTTTGTCAAAATATGAACATATGTTTCATATATGTGTCATTTATTAACTATCTGAATTATAATCTTTAAAGAATATTTTGAAGCACCTTTCTGAGCAGAAGCACAAAATAATTGAATTTGAGCAAAAAGGCCCTAATTTTTTTTCCAGTGAGTTAACAAAGTTTTGATGATGCTAATCAGTTAATGTATGTGCGTGTGTGTTACAAATTTATTTAATAATGCATTATTTTTATTTACAGATTGTTCAAGAACATCCCATGGATTGCAACTACTGCCGACTGCTGGTCTGCCCACAACAAGTCGTACCTGGGGATGACGGCACATTGGCTGGACCCTGAGACCCGTGCAAGACGACACGCTGTCCTGGCCTGTACGAGACTCAAAGGACACCACACCTTTGATGTTATTGCTCAGGCTATGGTTGACACTCATTATAAGTTCAACCTACAACACAAGGTGATCAGGACTACAACGGACAACGCAAAAAACTTTGTGAAGGCCTTTGTACAGTTTGGTACAGAGGCTGAACTCTTGCCAGACATTTGTGAGGCTGCTGGTGATTCAGCTGATGAGGTCATCCAGGATGCAGATCCAGAGGCTGGGCCTTTGGAAGATGTGGAGTACATTTCTGTTGATGCTATCCTCGATGAGCCCAGTGGCGTGGACCGCAATCTGCCCGTACACATGAAGTGTGCCGCCCACACATTTAACTTGGTAGCGAGTGTTGATGCTGACAAGGCTCTTGAAAGTGCTTCATTCAAGTCAGCCTACAGGAAGTCCATGGCCTAGGCACAGGGACTGTGGAATCTTCAGAGCTGCAGCACAGTGGCAGCAGACAGCCTATTTGACGCTCTGAAGAGGAGGCTGGTGGTTCCCAACGGCACCAGATGGAACTCCATGACTCTGTTCTCGTGCTCAACAAAGTCTTGGAGAAAAATAGGGTCGCTCTCCACAGAAGAAGACCAGGCGTATCTTGGTAGCCTTCTGCCAACAGTAGCGGCTACCATGATG